AAAATGTAAATATTAAATAATAAATGTAAATTTATTTGTTGTAAAAGATAATGTTTAATTACAATAGTTATAATATTTAATGAATTATAATAGCATGAGTAAGAAGGAAATTGCTTTTCTAAGCAGTAGAGACAAATTGTATTGGCTAATTATAAAACACAAATGCACCTTCTGTATACCATGGATTATTTTAATAAGAGTATTAGTCCTGTGCTAATAATCTTAAAAGCTTTGCAAGTATTATTATCTGACTGGCACTATAAAAGCAGTGACAGAACATGGTTCAATAAGTTGGTGCAAAATGGTTTTACTGAAAGGGTTGTTATTTTTTTCTTATTTGATAGTTTTAACAGCTAGTGCAACTGTTAAAGTTCCAGCAGCAGCATCATGGCCAAACTTTGCTTCAAAATCTGGTAATATAAATTATATAATTTTTAAAAATGATTCTTTGAATTAAAACAGAATTTATCAAAAAAGTGTAATATTTTTTGTAAATACACAATATGTGTGCACATTTGTACTTTTCTCAAATTATTTTTTCTTATATGAAACATATTTTTAGCTTATGCAAGAGCTCTTGGACCACCAATGTCAGGAATGGATACTATATCAGTGCCTTACATGCCAAAGTCTCCTTTTTTCCCCAAATTTGTTGATCCTAAAATGATGATTTCAAAGAAAACAGATATGCTGAGCAATTTATTTGGCAGTATGGGACCTACTTATCCTATGGGTTTTAAGCCATTTATGCCATATGGAAGTGGATCATCTTTGTATAGCACAGCTGATGAAGCACAGCTATTGAACAGTTTAAGTAAAAGTGAATTGAATGATGGCACTGGTCCTTACAAACGTGGAATTTATGGACCCTTTGGTTCCAAACCTTTTGGTCCCATGAGCTCTAAGTTTGGACCTATGTCTCAATTCTCAAGTGTAAACACTATACCTGATTATAGTATGAAGGACGAATATTCCCGCAAAAGAAGGAGTATAGATGATTCTTCTATAATAAAACTTCGATCAATTATGGATACCAAGCCAGAAACAAAGAATTTGGGACCTCCACCTCCTTATCCCACTCTTGCTCCAATTTCTGAAGAACCAGAAGAAGATGTAAATGTGTTGCTTAAAAAATTGAGTGATCCAACAGCACCAAAACAATATTTACCAGGAATGTTTGGACCACTTGGACCATTTGGACCATATGGACCAGCTGGACCTATGATGGACCCATCCATGTTCATGACAAAGAAATCTGCATTCTTGGATACTTTGTTTAAAAATCTCGCTACCACTACTCCGTCGCCAACATCAACAGATGCTCCAACAACAAAAAGTACTATTGTACCACCAAATTTTTGGTTACCATCGTCTGTAATTCCTGATCCAAGTGAATACACTAACAAAGTAGGAGATTTCTTGGATAAGTTGTTTGATACTTTAAAATTGAACAAAACCATGGCAGTAAGTGATGATGACAGTATGAATGCTAAAAATGACTTGGTAAGATCTGTTAAACCTGATGGAGATAATGCACAAGCAAAAATTGCTAGATCCGTTGACGATCTATCATCAATTAATGCCGCTAAGGATACAATTGTTGATAGTATATTGTCTGAGTTGGGTGATTTAAAAAGCAACATGGTTACGACAATGAACGATTTAGTTTCCTATCAACAATCCGTATCAATGCCGCCAAAGAAGCCTTTTAAACCTTTTGCTCCTGGTATGTGGCCAAAACCAACTGCTGGTGGAATGATTCCTTTCCAGCAAAAAATGGCAGTACTCAGTCAAGTATTCGACATGTTGACGGATTTACAAAAAAATATTACTCTAGCAATTGAAAATGTGATAAAAGCTAAAATGGGATCTACTAGTACTTCTGAAGGAGCATTTAACGTTAATTATCCAATGGCTAATGATATTTTCTCTACTACCAATGGTATTCCTATTAATACAAGCCTTGCAGATGCTATTAAATATAAGTTGGATATGTTGGATTATGGAATGCCCTTTTCTTATGACCCAAGTTTTGGAAAGTTTGGGCCAAAAATAGCTCGAACAGTACCAAAAACTCCAGCATCATTTTGGGTCTCTTATCCTGAAGATACAGTGAATATAAAACGAGCAGTTGACAGTGGTTCTGAATCTTTAATGAACGGAGAAAATTTCGATCAAAAGCAAGAAGCTCGTTCAGTTAAGATGCAAATGCATCAAGGATATCAGAGTTTGCCAGCTGGTTCTGTAGAATCTATACAGGCAGGTGGAGGATCAATGCCTGGACACCAAGGTGGAGGAATTAAGTTACTTGTAAGTATTTGGATAAAAACAAAATATGAATTCGAATTTTGGAAAATGCTTTAAATTAATACGTTTGTATTGTATAATGTACACAGTGAAACAATTATAATAATTAATACTGACTAATAATATTTAAAAATACGGCAAACATGTTTGTATCATTATAAAACAAATGATGGTGATAACAGGTCTTATGCAATATGAAAACTTCATTTGTTTTCAGATACAAATGCCTGTATTGCCTAATATGCAAGTGCCAGGTTTTCAAAATAATAATCGCGAAAATTAGGTATGTTTAATTTGAGTATTGTGAATATTGTGAACATGTTCATCTGTTGTAGGATACCAGCAATTATGAGGACATTGATAAGTGGATCAATTGGATGGAATATCTGAAAAACGACTATCAAGGACACAGGCATCACAATCACCATTAAACTGCAGGACCTAGCAGGAATATTACCATAACTTGTAATTACAAATTTCTATTTTTAAACTGGTCATTTTTCACATACTATATATACAAAGTGTACGCTCAATGATATCCTTCAATAAAGTATGTTTTGCAAAATATATAGTCAGCATAAAACCATATGTTGACAAAAAGCACAAATTTAAAAGAATGTTACTACTTCAAAATGTATAAGAAGTTAATACCTCGAAGATATATCTTTTTATTAGATTTTCTATTTATGTTTATAATATATACAATTTTATATACGACAAATCAAACGTACACTGTGGCACTGATTCATTCAAAATGTATTTAACAATGATGAACATAAAACAGTAGAATGAGTACGTACATTAGTCAAGCAAACATCAACGCACATGGACGCAATCCTGCATCAAGTGCGTTGCTTTGTTTCTCTGTAATCAGCAATGCATTGCACGCAGGGTAGCGTTAGTGTGTTAGGAAGCATCAGAATTAATGACATGGCTTGGTCTTTGAAGAAATGAAGGGAAAACGTCTCATTCTCGTGTACTATATAAGTTTCAGTTCAATTTTTCGTGCTAACTACATTTATGTTGTTTCTTATATAAAGTCATATAAAATTATGGAAACAATTATGGCAGTATCGGTAAGTGATTGACGTTGGACGTCTGTTTACTTTTTTTCAATAGAAACTTTCGTTTTTAAAGTTAGGAGTCATTGCACACTTTTTTCACTTAAAATTACGATATCAAACTTTGATATTTTACTGTACTGATTATATCACACACCATTAAAAGTAGATCATTATCATCTGCCTTTTGTCACTCTGGATATAAGATGTTCCATTTGCTGATCGATTCTAAACACCATGTAAAAGGAAGCCAATACACTGCTTAACGTTACTAACAGTCCCAAACCCTCGAATATCAACTTTGGCGCGAAGATCTTCCAAACCATTAAATGCCGACAGTGAATCGTCGCAGCAAGCATGCTGCCAAATGTCTATAACGTATATGAAATTATAAAACTTTATCAATTAAATTTTAAATTGCTTTTTTAACAATATTCCTAGTATCTATATGTATACTTTTTAAAATATTAATAGAACTAAGATATAAAAACTCTTGCTTACTCTAATTCCATGAAGCAATATATATTTTCCTGCAACTGAAAAAACTGCTGCATGAAATGCAGAATCTTGCTCAAACAGTAGCAGTTCTCCTCTTTTCATGTCATCTTCCAAAAATTTTACTTTAGCTATCTTTGGAAATACAAGATAGAAAGTAAATGGTACAATCACTAATAATGGTAATGTTGCACCTAGTATAATGTGTGACCCAAACGTGTTTATTCCTACAAATCGTAATTTGTTGATAGAAAGAATTTTTAAATTAATAAAAGTATAGTTATGTGTACCTATTAAGATTGCTGGAAATAAACTTCCATAGAAGTGTCCACCTGTCCCTACAAAAGCAGCATCCCAATGAATAGTAGGAAAAGTTGGTTGATGCCCAGTTCCATAAAAGAAATATTCTGCTATTAAGAACCAATACAATAGGACAGGAGTAGGTACTTCTACAAGTTCAGCTGTTATCAAAATTATAATATTAAGAATACAGTATGTAATTTAAAGTATGACCTATGTATTAAGGTACTTACATATAGTAGTAGCATTTTTGTATCTTTCTATTGCTGACAAGGCCAAAACAGAGGCACAAGATATAAACATCAAGAAAGTACTAGGTGATAATATATCTCCTAACAATAAAGAATATAATAACGTAAGAAATACACTTAATGAGATAAATGTAGCACTATAGGCAGTACCCAAGCCATAAACAACTGGTGTATCATCTACATCTATGTTTTTCCGATAAATTGACTCTTTTATCTTCTTAAATAATCGAGGTACTACATTTTCATCATGGTATATGTTAATTGATTCTTTCCTTTTTGGCAGTAGAAATATATTGAGTGGACGGTAGTATAAAACAAAGATTGCAAACAAACTCAATGCATACACTATGTTAGGCAATGTACTTACTTGCCAAGATAATGCAAATTTTACTTTGACAAATTTAGGTAATCTTTGAAGGGCCCAATAACAACCCATGCAAACACCAATAACAACAGGACAATATTGTCCTACCAATACACTAGGAGAAAAACCAGAAAGGTTTCCACAATTTTTTAACCACAATCTTATTATTGTAATATATAATGCAAGTACAATTAAGGTAATGGCAAGTAAAACACGTTCTAAATTGTCGGATGTTATAGAACTTGTTTTGCCAATAACAAACGTAGAACATATACGTTGTTGTTGCTCCTCTCGGCAACGCCAAAAATAATAAGACAGTCTGATGGAAATACATGCTATTAAACCAACAACTATTATAATTGTTTTCAAGTTTGATTTTGTCTGTGATTTAAAAAATGGCTTTGTTTTTCTTTCTGAGTTTTCATTACTACTTTCTTTCCTTAGATTAAACATAAGAAGCCAAAGAACTGTAACAAGTAAAAAGGATAGTACATTATCTTCTTCAACAATATAGCTATTAGAAAAAAGATTGCATATTGTTAAAAGAAGTACTACTCTTGTAACATAGCTCAACTTTTTTACTTTTCTATAGTCATACCAATTCATTGAAATTACATCCCAATTTTTAGCAATTAATATCACTAATAATACTATAGATACTGCACCAGTTGCAAACAATGTAGTATTTTTTAATTCTTCTAAGATGTCAAAGAAAAATAAAAAAAATACTGTTAGTGCAGTAATTAAATTAGCTAAAATAGAACATTGTAGATATGATGATTGAAATATTTTAGACATACGAGCTTCTGGAATGCCTGTAATAAATAGGTAAAAGAAAAACAAAGCACAAAACATTAAAAGTAGGCCCTTTGACATTAGACTAGAATCAAATTGAACCCAGACTTCAGAACATGTACTTTTGAGTAATTTAAAATAATTTCGACTATTCACAATAAAAGATTCAAATTCCTCAATAGTATTTATGTGCTTAATTTGCTCAAGCAGATGATTATACATATTTTCTAAATTTTTAAGCTGTTCATTAGAAAACAGGTAACTATCTGAAGAATATACATCTATATACTGTTTTGTCTGTGCAACATTTTTCCACACTGAATATAATGAATACCATAAATCATCTTCTGATTGTTCATTTCTTGTTGAACTTGGAAGTGAATCAATTATAACAGATCCCAAATTAGAGAAAGGTATAGGTGTTCCAAGAATTGATGATAATGTGGGAACAAGATCAATTTGATTTACAGTATTGCCAGGTGAATTATACTTTACAAGAGGAACCATAGAATAAACAAACATAGCAGCTTCAACTTCATTGCTGCTATCACCACCATGATCACCACTTTTTGTCATTCCATGATCACCAATAACAAAAAATACTGTATCATCTTCTAAAGATTCAATGATTTCTTTTATAAGAGTATTTGTATCATTTAATTTTCTAGTCATTTCAGGATGATTAGCACCATGTTTATGTCCACAATGATCAATGCCAAGAACATGCGCAATAAGGAGAGACCAATCTTTCTTCTTCATTTCAAAAAATATGCGGTACCTAACATCTTTATCAACACTATCCAGATCCCAAACATTGAAAGATGGCGATGGAAATTGACGTTCAAATTTGCCAGGGAACAAATTAGTCCAAGTATCATCACCCATGAAAACAATGCCTTTGGCAGTATTTTGATCAATAATGTTATCTTCATTAATACTTTCAGAAGCAAAATTAGATCCAATATCAATGAAAGTAGGTAAAGATCCAGTGGTAAGACCTTTTAATCGTTGCATGGTTGTTGTTGGAGGATCTGCTATGAACTTGTATAAACGTGAATTCATAGGTTGACTTTGCAACAGTTCATGAATTATGGGTAGCTTATTGTGATAATAAGATGAAGTTGAACTATTATCGTTGTACCAATATGCAAACTCATACTTTAAGGCATCAACAACTAGTAACACAACACGTGTTTTTCTTTCGATACAAGTGGCTGCAGCAAGTTCTGGCTTCTGAAGAAGTTGTGGAATGTTACAGTCAGAATTCGTACAATAGTTGCATTCGGCACGATCTAGTCTGGCAACACGATTTAGTAGAAAGCCGCTCGTAAAAACCAGTAGGCCGGCTGCCATCAAATACGACATCCATCCTTGAAATATTAAATAATTCCATAGTTTGCTCATTTTTTTCGGTGATCCGTTATTTTCTTGCGTTATTAGAAAAGAATGCAATGTCAAAAGAATTCCAACATAATGTTAACCTATTTCTTGATGTAAACTTATTATTCATCATTGTCACATTGTTGCGTAGACGATGTGAATATTCGATCAAAATAAACTTTAGATAGAAATTGTTAAGAGCATTCGATGATAAAACTATGATCCATACTTTTACAAAAAAATGTGAAAACTATACAATTCGTAACAAGAGTGTAAGAACGCAACTTTGTGCTGATTTGTATGGCGCTAAATTTTGAGTACGTACAGTGTCGCCACTACGGCACAATCACTAAACATTTTATTTCAAATATCTGCTTTTAGGTAATGTTAGCAAAACAGCAGTGTACCGACGTATAATAAAATCAATTCTCGTTTCAACTTTAAGGAAATATATTTTGAATGGTAAAATACAAATCGTGTCTATGGTTGAAATTTATTGCGTAAAAAATAAATTGCATAACGATATTTTATGATCGAAAACGATCACAATCGATTCTTTTGTTCATACTATGTGACGCAGTTATAATAAATTATGATCAAATCTATCAAATATTTAAGCGCCTTAAATTTAATCAACTTGGCGAATCATCTAATTGGAAACAATCTTACCTTAATTAGAAATTCTAATTGTGAATCTGACTTCGAACAATTGTTCAAATGGAGGCCTCTTAAGGACGGTTTCGAAGAGGCTAAGATTATTCAGAAACCGATATTTTTACTAATACATAAACCACAATGTCCCTCTTGTCAAAAATTAAAGAAGACATTTGCGAAATCCGTGCGATTAATGGATCTTAGCGATCGGTAAGTATTATTACTGGATGATTCGGAATTAATTTCATCACCGTTAAAATATACTGTAGTGGAGTTTAATACTTTTTACGTAACGGGCATTCTCTTTTTCGCCTGCATTTAATACATTAAATTAAATTTCACGGGAAATTTGTAAAAATAATTCTAACCTTAAAATTTCATAAATAATCGTTACTTTTGATGACTCGACTAACGATAATTGCAGGTTCGTGATGATAAAAACGGAGATGGGGAGTGATGTCATTTTGGATGGGCCAAAATTTCAACCAGATGATAAATACGTGCCCAAGATATTGTTTTTCACGTCTAAGGGTGATTTCATCAAAGAAGCCTATAACAAGCACACGGATGCGGACAAGGAACACAAGTACTTTTATAAGAGTCCCTCGCAAATTGTGGATACTATGCTGTACGTTTTGAAAGAATACTCAAAGGAGCCATTGTCGGTAATGTTTGAGCATGAACGACCATCGAAAGTAGACAATCATGTCGTGGAAGATGACATTATTGCTCCGACTTTATTACATTGGTACTAACTATAATAATAGATAATTGAACCATTTTGCTACTGACAACTATGAATAAAAGAAGCGAAAGAATTTAAACAATTTTGTTACTGTTTTAGATATTATGATTCAAAGAAGAGAGATTGCAAATTTATGTCCCTTAGAATGTGCACGTAGAAAACGAATAAAAGAAAAATAGAGTAGAATTATACACGGTTCGAGAAATATTATTTAAACGAGACAAATAAACGATAAACGATCCGTTGTTGATGTAACCATTTTTTCCTAGAGAATACGTAATAGAAGCTACTATAAACCGAAGAATCCAATTAAACACAGTTCTTGCCAGTATTCTTATATTTTAAATTCACTTATGCAGAGTGAACAGCGTAACGTAAACACCTTATATTATACAGGAATGAATAAGCCGAAATAAACGGAAAGTAAGCGGTCAGGCCATCTTCCCTACTCTTCGGTCATACACTGGCGCCTCTTGAGGGGAAATTGCGGTGTAGATAAATGGTTTAGACAAATGATTTTTAATCAGCTGTCGATAATGCAGAACGTTGATAAAAGAATAGGAAATATTGGAAATATTAAATAAATTTGTTACATGATTTAACTTAATAGAACAGCTTAATTTATTATTTTCGCATTGAATCAACAATTGCACGCAGTAGATTAGTTAGAAATTATTTCTAACTTTTGTTGAAAATTGAAAAATTAAAGTTCTTTCTGTGTGAATTATAGATGGAACTGTCAGGCCACCACAGGAATCAAGGGAAGGACTTCAACATCAGGAAATGTCAAGAAATGCAATTATTTATCAAAAAATCAATTATTTATGGTAAAATAAGTGTACAAAATGTATTTTACAAAAGGTTACAATATACCAGCATTGTTTTACTGTCTATTTATTTCTCCCTTACACACCAAATTCACTTCCTTTTGCAAAAACCTCATTTATTAAATAATATTCCATTAAAAAATGAAGCTCATTAAGTCCGAATAGTGTTAGGAACGTTTAAAAGCTAAACGGTCTTAAAAATCGCGAAATTCGAGCGAAAGACTTCGAAAATTGCACGAAAAAAAGCTTACGGATGCTGAAAAATTTCGAATATCTGAGAAATGGTTGACCTACACTACTTCGATCCCGAAAATCGAACGCCTGAGGAATGGTTGACCTGTACTACTTGCGCGATCGCGAAAAACTAAAAATTCCGAAAATTAATTAGTACTGTGAGTTCATCATTTCTCAGACGCTCGAATAATTCGATTTCTGAGAAACGGTTGACTTTACTACTTGCGTCTATTCCGAAAATTTTCCACTATACCTCGAATTTCAGCAAGTAGTTCAAGTCAACCATTTCGCAGCAGCTCGAATTTTTACGAAATCGGCAAGTAGTGAAGTCAATCATTTCTATGACGCTTCAAATTTTTTCGCAATCAACAAGTAGCGTAAGCATATCACTTCTCAAACATGTCAAAATGCTCTAGGTCCGTAAAAATCCTGCAAATCGACCGAGAAACTTCGAAAATTGTGAGAAAACAGCGTCGAGAATGTACTAAAGCAGCTTGGTTTATTAATTTATCAATTTATTTGAAGTTTCAACTTTATTCTCAGGTACTTTAATTAAAGAACTAACAATTGCACGCGATATATCAGTTAGAAATTGTTCACAGCTTTTATTTAACATTTGAAAATTAATGTTCTTTTCGTGTAAATTAGAAATAGAGGTTTCAGACCACCGTAGGAATCAAGGAAAGGATACCAACATCGGGAGAAACGAAGAAATACAATTATTTATCAAAAACGATCAATTATCTATTGCAAGATAATAGTACAAAATGTATTTCATAAAAGGTTACAATATATCAGCATTGTTTTACAGCGTTTCACAGTCTATTCATTTCTCCCTTACCCACATCACCCACCGCTTATTTCCTTTTGCGAAACATGCTCGTTCTTTAAACAACACTCCGTTACAAAATTACTTTAACTACGTCCGGATATCGTTAAGCGCACGTTACTAAATGTTATCCGTGTTGTTGAACGTTTCTTTCACACGTCGAACCCCGGACAAAAAGACAAGGCAATTAAAATAATCTTTAGCTTCCTGTTCTTTTTTATCAACGTGCTACATTATCGACAGCTGATTGAAAATCATCTGTCTAAACCATTTTTACCTACAACGCAACTTCGCCCTCAAATGGCGGAGACAGTGTAAGACCGAAAAGTAGTGGGGCGGATTCCCCGACCGCTTTATTTTCCGCTTATTTGGTCAGCTGACGACGTCGGAAGTCTCAAGTTTGCTTTGCTGGACAATACGCGTGGCACGGAACGTGTTAAAACCACAGTGCATATTTAGAGACCTGTCGATTCGATAATATTCATTTCGTTATTGGCGACGATATTATGATCGTTTTCGTAGCGTCGAAAGGACGACGAGAGGAAATGAGGATGGAACGACGGGAAGGTATTACGTAACGCGAGAAACGTCGCCATGTGAATGGGTGTTTAGTATGTAACCAATCTGAAGGCGAGTCCTTCGCGGCAGGCGTTAACCTTTTCAACACTGTTCCCGATGTAACCGAGTCTGCGCCCGTACATTAAACATCCGTGGGGCACATCAACCTATCCGCCAGCTCGCAGCCAGCGATCGTATAACAGCGCTTGCGTTTGCAACTGTTTCCATGTCGCGTGTGCCTCCCGATTGGTCCGACACTGTCTCACCTAGGGCCGTTCAACCACGCCCATTTTCACCCTCTTCAAGTTATGTATACCGTGTTTAATACACACGTTCTCAGTACTGCACGTGGCTCCGTTTACACTTTCTTTTTAACAAATGAACTATACGGGGTTTACACTCCAAAGAGTCGCAGAATACTTCAGCAAATTTGCTAGAATGTGACATAGAATAGTTTAATTAACGAAAATTGATCTGTGTTGAAAATGTAGAAAATAGTTTTCACAGCTAAAACCAAAGTCACCTTGAGTTTTTCACACGGAACCGCATAATTCTCTTTTTTTTTTTCACTATATTGAATAAGAAGGGAGAACAATTTTTTTTATAAATACCATCTTTTTCTGCTTCCCCTTCAAGGTCATCTATGTTTTTTTACACCAACAATTGTATGCGCATGACAATATAACCTTAAAATGACCTTGGACTAGGAAAATGTTAAATCAAATATGAAACTTACTTTCATATTTCGTCAATTTCTTCGATCGAAACAATTTCTCCTCGGTTTTACTCATCCGTTGAAACCATTTCAATTACGTGTGAAAATTTTCCTCGTATACACTACCGTAGGTTATACAGGAGAAGAGACGATAATTAGAAACAGCGGCTTGTTTTACATAGCCCGCCCTCTTATACCTGACAGGTTTAACTAACTTCACGACATTCACTCTGTATCCTTTCCACGGATTGTATCTAAGTGTACACTTGTGCTTACGCGTGAAACGAGAACGTATACATTGGCGGTGCAGGGGATTCCTGGGCAGAGAAACGGCGCGTAGAGAGATACGCGCACGCATATGGGTTATGTATGGATCTCGGTGTGTTCTGTGTTTGAAGGGTTGCAGATAATATATAGCCCGTTTCGGCGGAGAGAGCTTTTTAGCTTTGACCGTTTCATCCGGC